CTAAACGGGGTCCTTTTTACACGACGAGTGTTGGATCTTGACCACATCGTTCCGCTCGATGGGTTTGCTTCGATGGGTGACTGGAGCGATGACTTCCCCTCTCTCGAAGCGAGGAGTACCTTCCTGTATAGCATTTTCACCCCTCCATATAATTTCTCCACGGAGTCGGTTCCGGATGCGAATTTACTTCATCGAAAGTACGAAGATGGGATTTATCCGGGCTGTGAGCATGACAATCATATGAGATACCAGTCTGCTATGAGCGAAATACAACAACAAGAGAAATGGAAGAAAAACAGCGGTACCAATCAGCACCACGTCATCCCCGCAGAAGCAAAAGGGGATGAATAGGATACCAAAAAAGAAAAGTCTGTAGTATGATAAAGAGGATTGTCTGAAAAGGAAGAAACCACTAGTGATGCTCTCTGATCATGGTAGAATAAGGTCAGATATTACTCTTCGACGCTATCGGAAACATAGGTCTTTGATTTCGTTATACGAGCCTAAATTTTATTTAAAGGTGAAAAGGGTAACCAAATTTCAGATTCGGTATCCTTTTCCTTTTAAAGGGTCGTTCGATCTCTGTCTAAGCGACAGAAGTAAACGAGAGAGTATAAAAAAAAAGTGAGGCTAAAGTATGTTCTCAAAAGAAAACCAATAGTAGAAAAAAAAACATTTTTTTTCTTCTCTCCTTACTAGGTTATCCTCATTGCAACCATTCCTTTCTATTGCTTTATTTGTTGTATCCATTTTAATTTCCCTCTTTTCACTTCTTTTTTGTAACATTATCCATCCAAAGTCACCAAAGGGGTACTTAAACATTAATCCGTATAAATTAAATACTCCTCCACAGGATAATAATAATAATAAAAACACTAGTAAAAAAAGACAAAAGGAATCCCTAGAGGTTTCTCTATTTTCTCCCTCTTAGTTTGTTGGTTTACCTTAAGTATGCCTCACTACAAGCAGTCATGGGCCAAGCGGGTGAAGAAAGAGCGATTTAAGAAGAAGTATCTCAGCCGAATGCAGGCCACGCGGCTTCTGCAGGTCGACGCAATCAAATTTCGCCGATTATGCATTCTCAAAGGTATCTATCCCCGCTCCCTCGCGCGGAGTAAGCAAAAACAGAGCGGTGATGAGAAGCAGTACTACCTTGCGAGGGAGATCAAATGGCTCGTGCGGGATCAGCTCACCGATAAGATGATGGCCTTTCGCGCGTGGGAGCGAAAAGTCAAGCGCGCGACCGCGATGGGGAAGAAAGAAGACCTAAAACTCCTCAAAAGCCTTCGTGTGAAGCCTCAGCATAGCCTAGTGGCTACAATTAAGGAGCGGTATCCATATTTTGTGGACGCCCTGCGGGATGTCGACGACGCGATGACGATGATCAGCCTCTACGCCTTCCTCTCGCCGGAGGTCCGTGCGGAGAGCACGGTGGAGGTTCACCACAGCCTGACCTCAGGGATGCACGAAAAGGCCAAAAAGATTTGTGAGGAGTGGAATCGCTACGTTTCCCGCGCGCAGGTTCTGTCAAAGGGGTTTATCTCGATCAAAGGCTACTACTACGAGGCCCTGGTGCGCGGGGAGCGAATTCGGTGGCTCTGCCCGCACGAGTACGCGCACAAGTTCCCGAAAGGCATCCAGCAGTACATCATGCTATCCTTTCTCGAGTTCTACCTCGAGCTGATGAAGTTTGTCCTGGTGAAGCTCAACCGCGACCTCGGCCGCGATCTTGACGAGCAGGACCGGGCCGCGGAGGACGCCCAGGACGGCCTCCACGTCGCGAACTTCCCCGCCGAGGCGGCCGACCCTTCGGCCCCGGCGAAGGAGGCCCCGGGGCGGCTGGCGCTGATGGACCGCGAGCTGCGGAAGGCCCGGGGCGTCTTCGCCGGGCTCGGCTTCCACCTCT